CCCCCCCCCCCCCCAGCTAACTGGATATTCTCATCTAGCAAGTTCACTTTTCATTTCACCTCCTGGACTTCCTGAAAGCAGCAATGCTTTATCATTGATCATAAGTCCCTTTACTGCAGTGATGACTGTGTTTTGGAGGGAGGGGGCAGTCCACAATAAGAAAACAGAAATTGTATTCTACACTAGAAAAGACAAACATGAGAAAAGGAGTTTCCTGACATGACTCACCGAAACATGAGACTGACAACAATGTAATGAAATTACTTATCATAGGAAGACAGCTAAGGTTCTAAGTCCCTATTGCAGAAGTTCTGCCATTCTTCAGGAGTCCGATTTCCAAAAAATGGTAATAAGGAAGAAAAAAAGTAAGAGGGTCAGTGTGGCCCTTTGTCCTGCCCTTTGTATTCTGCTAAATGCCCCAAAAGACAGGAATAACGGGACCACTCAAGACAGGCACCTGGGATACCTGAGCTCAGACATGGCAAGAGTGAGTGACCTGCTAAGCATTCTGAGAAAGGGCCCATGGCTTCCATGAGAAGCAGCCAGGAGAGAAGCAGCCAGGAGAGACGACCAGAGGGCTCACGAGAAAATGCGGTACCTGTGGCAGCTGGAGAAGGCAAGGGGTAGTTCTTTTCCTCTTCCATGAACTGCAAGGCCACGGTGCAGAAATTGCTTTCATACTGAACTACAAGATGACTCAGTGCTACCACCAGCTCCTGTCGAGAGGGAGAAGGGACAATCACACTCACTGTGGAGAATGACTGTGGAACGACAGTGAGACTTACAAATCAACGCCAAATGCTTGAGTTACCAATAGAAAGAAGAGAGGTTAGAATGAATCTCTGTCATCAGTATCAGGAAGAGGGGCTGCCTCTTTTCTACCTGTGAGAGCAGAAGCCTTGGAGCAATAAAAGATGGTAGGGCCTAGCTTACGGAGGACTCAAGGAACGTCCTGGAATGCCTGCCAGAATTTCATCACTGCTAGACGTTTTGACACAATAGAGACTTTGATAAAAACACAGTGTGAATCACACACCTACAGGGTGGGGAAGGTATGGGAGCTCATAGCCTCTTGCCTACAATTAATACTGTGACCCTGGGCTGAAAACACTGCTGGATCAGACCTGACAGCTGCCAAGCCCTTTTGAACTTCAGCACTGGGGCGGAACACAGCTGACAGGCTGAAGCTGCTCTTTCATCAAACACAAAACTTTTCAAAGATAGGTTAGTTTTCAGTCCCTACACAGGAAAAAGAAAACCTCTAGAGTTAAAATATCATCTTTAGGCACAAATGCCTCAGTCCAAGGAAACAGACACAAAACACCTCTTTTTCAGGACATGAGTGCCTGGAGATCCTATAACTCACTGGGAAACCAAAGCGGAATGCAGGTTTATGAAAATCGAAGTAATCCTTTTCTCCCCCACCACTATTCAAATAGTTCCAACAGCCCTATCTGCTTTTTTTTTTTTTTTAAAGAGAGATACTTAGCAGAAAGCCAAGTTCTACAAGAGAGGTGGGAGAGGCCAGCTGAGGTCTCTGCAGTAGCTAAACAAGCCAGGCTCTGGTCAGGTGCCTACCAGGATCCTCCCAGTGGCTGTTCCTGTTCTCCCTCCACGCTCACTCCTGCGTTAACCTCATGTGCTCTCTCCCACCATAGTTTGTGGATCGCTCCAAACTGATTCCCCAGCTGCTGGCTCTGCTCTCTGCCGAAGCACTCACCTGCACACCAAACCGAGGTGCTGTTAGCTTTCCATTCAGCCCCTGTGGCACCCCTGGCTTTGTGCCCATGGAACCACAAATCTCATTGCAGAGCATCACCTTGCACCCACCCTTCCTACTCTGTTGGGTGCCAAGACTGTGTGGATGGTCAAGGTCCAATGAGTGTCTTCGTGGCCACAGCCAACACCCTAGTGCTGGTGGTCATCTTCAACTGCCCAGATTACCATCCCAGGCTCCCCAGGCTTTACCTGTGCCAGGGCAATAAAATGTACCTGTACAGATCCTCCAAGAAAGCAAACACCCGCCAGGCCAATTCCAGGGAAAATCAAGTCTTCACCTGTCTTCCAAAAGCACCAATTTTCCCCTTTCACTCTGACATAAAGTGAGAAAAGCCAGTGCTGGGCCCTGCAGCAGATTAATGAGTACCAAGGTTTTGGGCCCTTCAGTTCAGGGAAGGCTGTTAAGGGTAAGTCCATCATTCAACGGAAACATCAAGAGTATTGCTCACACCCACATGCACATCCTGGTGGAGGTGCTGGACTCATTCTGGGAGGTTGTACCTGGCACACAGCAAAGGGTGCTCTCTGGAGTCTAATGGTCTTCCTGAACCCGAGTATACACATAATAGTTGGAACATAAATGCACCAACTTTTGGGATGTTTATATAGAACCTGGCAGAGGGTCTGGCAGGGTCTGGGGTGTGGAAGCTCCCCTCATTCTCAGCATTTGTGAGGTGATCTCAGTTTCTGCAGACACGTGACCCGTGACCCATGACCCTTGGGCTCCCCAACGGCATATAGATGGGTCTTCAGACTGATTGATTGTTAAAGGCATCACCCATTCTCCCCACTGCTGGAGCTGTTTAACCTCACTCAAAAGGGAGGGACCCTGTTCCAGATTCCCGTGTCCCCTTTCAGACTCGGGGAAGTGCCCTAAAACCTGCTCACAGCCAGCCCCCTTCAGGGAGGAGTAGTTTTGCTCTTCTGTTCAGACCAACCAGAGTCCCAGCTCTTCTTTTTCCTCGTACCCCCCACCCATAAACAAATTCTGTAAGCTCTGTGGTCTGCACAGCCATCCCGACCACCTCCCTGCTGTAATTTTCTTGGCACATGATCCTCAGCCGATGTCACATATCCAGCCCCTGCACCAGCCCTAAGTGCACATTCTCAAAAGAAGAGTCAGATTTTTCTAGTCTACTGGGGGTCACCAAGGCCCAAACTGGGTCTGGCACATGTGTATGCTTAATAAGCATCTGCTGAGCTGGGTGCAGTGGTTCACGCTTGTAATCCCAGCACTTTGGGAGGCAGAGGTGAGAGAATTGCCTGAGCTCTGGGTTTCAAGACCCGCATGGGCAACTTAGCGAGATCTCATCTCTACAATAAGTCAAAAAATTAACTGGGCGTGGTGGCGCGCCTATAGTTCCAGCTACTTGGAAGGCTGAGGTGGAAGGATTGCCTGAGTCCAGCAGCAGAGGCTGCAGTGACTGTGAGTGTGCCACTGCACTGCAGCCTGGGCAACAGTCACTCAGATTAGAAAAAAAACAAAACAAAACAAGCATCGGCTGAATGAAGTTTTCTCTTCAGATGTAGCATCATCCATAATGTGTGAGTTAGTCTTTATAAGTGAATTGTCAAGACTCAGGGACATCTCACTCAAACATGTGCCCTGCCCCAAGGTGGGGGCTGCATGTCTCACAGTAATGACAGGGCTGGGCCAACTGTGGACTGTCCACCTGCTTTCTTCCCTTGTCCATCTGCACTGAGGGCTGCCCCCACTACATGTTTCCAACAAGCCAATGGATAATATTTGTTTTGTGATTGGTGGTTATGTAGTGTAAAACTCAGCTCCTGTACCATGAAGGATGGAGCAGCATCCTGGGAAGGGAGAACTTTAATTTTGAATGTGAATGCCTGGCAGGATGTGTTCCTGGGGAAGGTGCGTGGCTGTCAGTGGTGGGGCAGTGCATCCTCCTCTGTGGCCTCTACCAGAGACCTGGTCTGGGTGCTGATGGGGAAACAGCCTCTGATGCTTTTAATGAGTTTGGCTGTGAGTCAAACATGTGAGGGAGGGGAATGACTGGTGCTGCTCTGTGGGTACTAAACACAGAAATGTAAGATAGAAGTAAAGTATCCAACAGTTCTCTTTTTCCTCCTAAGCCAAGGACAGCTAGGGAGGGAGCACCAAGTTGGACCCTGTCCTGTGTCCCAGTCAGGCCTTGGTAGAGGCTGGGGTGACACCTGAGGGGTCTCAGCCTCAAGCCCCTAGCCTGGCACTTCTTGACTAGGTGGGGGCAGCTGCTGACTAAGCAGTTTGAGAATTTTGTACTACATGGTCAAGCTGAAGTTCAAAATAATTTGGGAGGCTGATATGAACTTGTTGACTTTTTAATGCTGTCAAGTAAGCTTGTTTAACAAGCCAACAAACAAAAACCTCCTCTGCTATCATTATCACCTCACATAGGAAAGGATACTTTTATTAATAAAAGCAGGATGGATGTGACTTTTCTGATATTGAATACATGTTGCTTATGAAAAACCAGCAATATACCCTTGTTTTCCCACTTGGGGCCAGGTGGAGGGCACCATGGCTGCTCAGGCTAGGCCTGTTCCTGCCTGACCTGCAGGCAAGAGCTGCGTGTGTGATCCCAAGGCTGGGTCACAACAGGACCTCGTGAAAAAACAGTCCTGAAAAGAGGGTGTTGGCTGTCATGGGGCTCCAAACCCACACGGTCCCCTTCAGAGCACCATGTGTGCCATGGTTCTTGATAAAGAGGAGAGAAAACACATAATTGCCTGCAGCAGGACTCTGTACCAAGAGAGGGGGTGTACCACCTTCGGGACAGTACCCCAGTGCAGCCTGCTTAGTGGGACTTCCCGGGCTTCTTTGTTAATGATGGTGCCTTTCTCGGACTCTCTGCCAGTCCTGCTCTCTCCAGACATCACCCTGTCACCTTACATCATCAGTTTGCTGTTGGATGTTGACTCCCTATAAGCACACAAACCTCCTGAAGGCAGGGGTGCATCCCAAGTACCTGACACAGCCACCCGACACATGGCAGACACACAGGGAAATACATGCCACTAGAATGAATCCTGTTAGAGCAGATTTGTAAGGACTAGAACATGTAAAGAAGTCATGTTCTTGACATCCTGGGCCTGGGCATGCAGAGATCTGCCTCCAGCTTCACCCAACTCACTGCTCCATGGTCCAGCTACGTGGAAAGAAGGCTACATGGAAAGAAGGTGGCTGCAAGCACGTTGACCCTCCCACCACCCGGCCTATGTAAACACTCCTCTTGCTTTCCCCTGCTACCTCCCAGGCTACGCACTGCTCACCCTCCATAGCCAAGGGCAGAGAGGCCTCTTCATAGAAGCCTCTCCTGACCCCCTTCCCACTACGAGGCAGAGGCAGGTGTACTCTGATGAGTCCCAGAGAACACCAGGCCTACGTCTGAGGCAGTATTTACAATGCATTCATATAATGACTGGTTTCTTCATCTGCCTCTTTAACAAGATCATGTGCTCTTGGAATGCTGGGGCTGTCATCCACCTCTATGTATGGAGCACAGTATTAAGCACAGCATGCAGCAGAGCTTCTGCACCAGGCACAGGATGGACAATACATGGAGAGAAGAGCTCTTCCCACCATCCAGGGACAACTGTGTCCTGGTCAGTATCACATTCTTTGACCACTGTAATATTCTCGTAGCCTGTGGTCCTGCGCAGGCAAACAAACACCAAACTGCTCATAGTGGGGAAGAGAGCTACATCTGAGCGCTCTCATGTCTAGGACCTAGGTGTTTGCAAGGGGACAGGGGAGCCACAACCAGGGACAGATGCCTAGGATCATGTGAAGGCCCTTAGGGATCATCTCCTGACACTGGGAACCCATGGGACACTACAGCTAACATCCTTCCTATTGCTAAATTGTTTTTAGAAAGAAGAAGGAAAGCTTTCTTGACTTTAAAAAGAATCTTAATAATTAAAGAAACCACTGATTTGCTGCTTTTATCCATGATATCCACTTAAGGCGATTTGATGTGGGACAGAGAATTTGGCATGGGTTGAAGAAGTCAAGTTCAGAAACACTGCTGATGACGAGAATGTAAAGATGACATAATCAGAACCAATGAAGAGTCTCACCAGGATTTCATCTCATATTTTTAAGATTCCATTAGAGAATCTGCCATATTGTGACGGGTTAATTTTAGAAAGGAACACAGGATAGAATAGGCCTTTCCACATTTTGAGTCTGGTGGACGTAAATTTGTCCAGATGATGTCCCTCCTAAGGCAGTGGTGTCCACTCTCCAGACAAGCAACCTTCTCCCATCACAGCCCATCTTCGGATAAGCCCAATCTCTTTGGATAAATAGGGAGTTATCTGAGAAATGCTGAGGGGGCGCCCAGTGCCTCTAGAGGGTAAGACAGACTGCATGTCCCCTATAGGGTAGCTCTGGTCTCTCACCTACTGTTCTCTCACCTACTGAGTAAAAGAGCAGCTTTCATGTTCTCAGGAAACTCTACCAATAAGCCAGAGTGTCTCTCCTAACACCCTTTTTCAGCTGGGGTAGAGGTAGGAGAGCTTAGGGTGCATGGGACCTACTTTTTACATGGGTGTGAAATCTTGGACAATAATCTGTGATATTTCTATATCTAAAAAGATATGTAAGTTTTCAGGTTTGTAAAACTGTTTTGTTTAGTCACTGACAAACATGGGGGTGGAGAGGAGGACACACTACACAAACCTTTCCATCATCTGTGGATGGCTACGGCTCTTTTGAATCATGATGATGTATGTATGTGCTGCTTCCAGGCGGGAGGGAGCCTATTATATGAGATGCCAGGAGACGCAGCCTGTTAAATGCCTTTAAATGAAGCAAACACAAGTATCTGGTGAAGACACGCATTTTGGAGAGAATTAAACAAACATTTAAAGATCTGCTCTCAAAACGATGCGTGTGGTTGGAAAGTGAGTCTTCAAGGTTGAGGAGAGAGGACTTGGTCCCCAGGCACTATGGGGGACCAGTTGCAGGTGCCTGCTGCTGCCACTGGGCTGGGGTTCACCCACCTTCCGGACCATGGGGCTCCCATCATTGATCAGCTGGGCTAGCATCATGGCCACGTTGTGGTCGATGGTGGTGGAGTGGTCCGTCCTCTCAGCAGAGTTGCCCACAAACGTGCCCAGGGCGAAGACTGCTGCACAGCGGACCTGCAAGGCAGGGATAAGGGTCATGGCATGGCCACACTGGCAGTGTCTGCTGTCTATGCTTCTGCCAGGGTTGTCTGCAAGGAACTCGATTCAGTTCAGTTCAGTTCAATTCAATTTCACAGGCACTTATTGAATAGCACCGCCAGCCCCAGAGTTACACTTGTATTAATAGAGAAGCAGTGGGGGAAGGAGCCCAGGAAACAGGAGGAAGGACTGTCAAGGCCCTGGCTTCAGGGGCTGAAGGCTGGGCTGTGGAGGTGAGGCCTGCATTTCTTCTAGAATTAAAAAACCAAACCAGGCACCATGGAATTTGTTGATGAATGAGATAGCAGTTAGGGGAGGGGGCTGGGATGGGCCGTGGAGAGTGGGGTGTGGCAGTGGCGAGAGAGGAAGGCGTGGGCACTCCTGGAGGCAGAGACAGCCTGAAGGGAATGACACTGGGTAGGCCATGGGGCCCCGGACCTTGGCTCAGCTCTTGCCTCCAGCATCGTGGGATCTGGGGGAAGAAGTCACCCTTCCTGTGCCTATTTCCCCATCTTTGAAGTGAGAACACACTGTAGCCTGCAAAGGGCTGGTGAGAAGATTCACTGCAACAACATATGAAAAACCCCAGGATTTCAGCATGTGGTGATTCCATTTGATCCCAGGGAACAGTCAGTGAGCACAGGTTGCTTGTCCTGGGGGCTCGTGGTGAGGGCACTTGGACTGATTCAGAATCATCGTGCTTTAGAGTAGGCAGGTCAGTGGTTCCCCATCCCCAGCTTATGTGTGCTCCTCAGTTCACAGAGCCATGGAGCAGACACAGGCTCCTCCTCTGGAGGAGATGTTTCCCAGCCTATAAACATGTCTACTGATGTACCTACTGTGGTACCTGTCAGCTCAGTTGACCGAGTTCTGGGTAGTGACATCATAAATGCTTTTGGAGTTTCACTGATGGCTTAGAAAAATTAATTCTAGAATTAGAGTTACTCCTGATGAGCAACCGGAAGCCACGGGGTGCCTGTTCATGTCACCTGCTCTGCAGAACTTGAGCAGGCTGGTGGGAACAGCAGGCCTAGTCCTGTCTGTGCTGACCAGGGCCTGCTGGGTTCCTCCGGAACATGATGAGGGAATTTTCAGAAAACTCCCGAGGGTTACTCCTAGAGAAGCAGTGGTGGGGTGGGTATAGGCAGAGTAGACTAGGAACAGAGGGCAGGGAGAGGAAAGAGGCAGCCAAGGAGCTGACGGATGGTGAAAGGATGATGAGGAAGGAAGCAGTGAGCAGAGGGAATGGTAAGCCCAGAAGGAGCACAGCAGAAATGACCTAGGGAGGACTGCAAGGGACACAGCTAACCACCAAAGCAGACTGGGAGGGGCATGGTGGTAATGACCGAGGGAGGACTTTGAGGAACACAGAGGAAATGACCATCAGAGGACTGGGAGGAGCACAGTGGTAGTGACTGAGGGAGGACTGAGAGGAGCACAGCGGTAATGACCGAGGGAGGATCGAGAGGAACACAGTGTAACGACCCAGGGAGTACTGCAAGGAGCACAGCAGTAATGAATGAGGCAGAACTGGGAGGGGCACAGTGATGATGATGGAGACAGGATTGGGAGAGGCACAGAGGAAATGACCAAGGGAGGACTGAGAGGAGCACAGCCACGACTGAGGCAAGTCTGTGGGGAGCACAGCAGAAATGACCAGGGCGGGACTGTGGGGAGCATGGCGGTAGTGACAGAGGTAGGACTGGGGGGAGCGCAGGGGAAATCACCAAGTGAGGAGTGGTCAGGGGAATGCTGTCTTGGAGAGATGGGAAGGGAGGGAAAGAGGAGGGATAGGGTTGGTTTTAGATGCTGATGGGGAGAAGGAGGCATCCAAGCAGCATGTCCAAGATCAGGTTGGTGGCCAGCATGGAGGTAATGCAGGAAGCCATGTCAAGGGATAATTTCCAAGCAAGGGAAAGGTCCACAGCAGAAGGATAGAAGAACAGAGGGTTCCAGGAGCCCACTGCCTTACTCAAGGAAAGGCAGAACCAGTATACCGTTATAGAGAAAAGAGGCAACACAGGCAACACACATTCCAACCCAAATGGCTTCTTTTGTTCTTCATTTTCAGGCCCACCTCGAAGCTGACCTACCTGAGGCAAGGAGGTGGGTTAGGACTGCTGGGGACAGATCTGCCCACCCATCCACCAGCCTCTGACTTAGGGCTGAAGTGAGCACACCCAATCAGCTGTGGGCAGGGCCAGGAACGGCAAGGGCATTGGGCAGCATCCTAGCACCTTCCCCAGCCTGCACGAGGGCCCATCTCCTTCTCTGTAAGGTGGAGATCAAACAGTCCCTGCCCCACAGGGCTGTGGCGAGGACATGAAGCAGCACCTTGGACAGTGAGCGTGGGGCACAAGCTCCTCACCTCTGAGGCACCATCGGGGACCCCCTGCTTGTAGCTGTGCCAACACACATGGGTGTGCACTCTTAGGTCATGTGAAAAGTCACCAAGAACATGACCTTTTTATGAAGTGCTATTATTATCTGTATGCAGTCCCTGGTTTCTGGATGTGAGGTCACATTCAAGCGGGAGCAGACCTCTGCTTTGTTCCCGTGCAATCCTTCCACAAACAGTGCCCTATTGGACTATGGGCACAAGGCACCACGGACACCCTGACCTGACTCAGTCGTGTCCGTGAGGATAACTCACCTCAGGGATGGGGTCGGAGAGGAGGCTGTAGAGTTTCTCATGAGCACTGTCGCGCACACCACACCATCGCGCTGAGTCAAAGTTCTGCCAGATCCTCCCCAGGCAGATGGCTACCCATTGGCGCAGCAAGGGGTGGGGGTCATTGAGCTGTTCCAGGCAGATGGCAATCAGGTTCCCCTGAAGGCAGGCTTCCTGGAGAAGTGCAGATGACACAGTCAGGTGGTTCTCTGCTCGCAGACCCTGGGCATGTGGCGGTGCCTGACTGAGATGACAGCCACCACCAATTTTCAGGAAGCCTTGCTTAATCACATCACCAGATTTACTCAATTTCCCTCATTTTAAATCTTGCCAATCCAATTTCGCCCTGCAAATGGTAGGCTAGATGAAGGTCTGTGCCTCTGCTAAGCACATCCCCTGTGGCACTGCCCGGTTGCTGGAGGGCTTGGGAATCCCCCGCTTTTCTGAGGCTGTTCATTAGACATTCAGAACAACAGCTCCTTCTCTAAGCACGCTAGCTCAGGGCCGCTTTCAAATGCATTTTCTGGTAAGCCATGCTCTTCTGCAATGCCAGGGAAGGACTCTAGGGGCTGGGGGCGGGGTGGTGAGGGGGGTGGCTGGGATGCTTACCTGCCCTGTGTTGTAGCTGTTGACGATCACGGCGAGAATAAAAGCTGTCATGGTCCTGTGTTCAGCCTGGAAAACAAAAAGCAGCCTTGGTTTTGTATTTCCCCCGTGGTGGAAACTCATCATTCCCAAAGCACAGCAATGTTATCCTTTCAGAACCTTTATGATGAGCTTGATGCATAATCAGAGTAATGAGAGGAGCTTTATTGTTGAATTTTGATTGGACTCTACAAAAGAAAATAGCCTTTTTACAAAGGTCTGACAGCGCTGGGCTTGCCTCTCTGAGTGAACAGACTATCCCTTGGAAGAATTAATACTGCAGGCCAGGCACAGATCTGGTACCATTTCCCCCCATCATAAGGCTGTCATGTTAATCAAGATGAAGCCCCTGACCACATATCCCCTCATCTTTGCCCAATTCTATTTAAGCATCCTGTTCTCTAGTCAAGCACTTGGTAGTAAAATGAATGAAGATGGTGTTCTGCTTCCCTTCCCCGCCCCCTCTGCCCTTTTATTAGATTGATCAATTTTCATTCTTTCCTTTCCTCCGTGCCTCTGCTGAGTTGGAAATCAGTCTATTTTTACCTTTTTAATGGTGTCTTACATGCTTTACATGCATGTTGAACAGTCTAATTTGTTCTATATTATACTTGGATAATGCAAGACTCAGGATGGTTTAATTCCTACATTTCTCCTCAGGTTTAACTCCTCAAGTTAGTGATTTTTAGTATTATTTATTTTTATAATCAAAGCTTATTTAGAGACGCCAACACATTTGCCAATTTCTTTGTTTTTTGCTTTTTTCTATATCTTACTTTTCCTCTGGGATCAACTTCCTCCTCTCTGACAATCTTCACAGCTATCTTCTGCAGGATTCGGAAAGTGGCAAATGTTGGTCTTTGTCTGAAAACGTACTTACTTCATCCTCATTTCTGAATGTATGTAGACTTCCAGGCCCACAACCATGTTCCCTCAGCACTCTGAAGGATTCCAGCATCTCCTGTTGTCTGTTGTTGCTGATGAAAAGTCCACTGTCTGAGTATTTGTTATTTACCCCTTTTTAAATAATCTTTCAGTTTGTTCTGGTTGCTTTTAAGGTTTTTCTTTATGTCTTTGATATTTGCTGCTTTCATTGTAGTATGTCATTGTGTTCATTTTTTAAAATTTAGCCTTTTCTTGGGATTCATTATGCTTTTTAAGTCTACAAACCAATTTCTTTCTTCAAATCTGGAAAATTCTCGGCCACTATCTGATCAAATACTGCTTCTCCTCTACTTTCTCTATTCTCTCATTCTGGAACTACATTAGCTACATAGTAACCTTTCTCAGCCATGTCTTGAACCTCTTTCATATCTTCTCTCTTCATTCTTTATGTCACAAAATTGCTCCAGGCAAGTTCTTCACTAATTCTCTTAGCTGTGCCTGTTCTGCCATCTAATTCATCTATAGAGTTTTCAATGACAGTGACCTGTCTCTTCATTACACATTCTATTTTTTCCCCCACATCTATTTATTTTAAAAAATCTATCACTTGTTGAGGATGAGTAAGAAGCACAGAATTTAATATTTTCTTATAACGGGGCACAGAAGCATTTCTGAAGAAACACAATGGTTTATTGTTTACCTAATTAAACCAAGTTATTTTTATTCAATCATTGTAAACATATTTAAGTTGATTTTATAGTTTTTTCAGATAATTCCATTAGCTTCCATTCTTGGGGGGGCTAATTCTCTATTTGTTGACTCTACTTATTCTCCTGCATGTGGTTTATTCAACTGTGGACTTGAGTTTTGGCCTGAGTCCCTGTGCCCTGGGTTGTATAAGTGTCCCTGAAGAAAGGCTCTGCATTTGCTGCCTCCAGGGCCGTAGGAGATTTGAAGAAACTGGAACATGTTTTCATGTTAATTTCTTGCCTGTGGCTCTCATGCACACAGGCAGTACAAACTTGGAAGTTTGTGATGAGCAAAACGGGTCTGGGGGTTTCTTTTTTTTTCATGAAGGACCTGCCCTTCTTTTCCCTTTCTTTTTTATTTATTTTTTTGAGTTGGAGTCTCACTCAGTCACCCAGGCTGGAGTGCAGTGGCATGCTCATGGCCACCCCAGTATCGACTTGCTGGGCTCTGGTGATCCGTCTGCCTCAGCCTTCCAAGTAGCCAGAACTACAGACGTGCACTACCACACCAAGCTAATTTTTTATTTATTGTAGAGACG